GGGACAAACAAGGGTTTTGCTGCAGTATTTTGACCTGGATGATGTTTATAAAATTATTACCTTATTTGAAAGAATTAGTGTGTTTAGACTTCACAGTAATACTTTCAATTCTTTTGATATCTTCACAAAATAAGAGGTCCACATGGCCAATAAACATGAGCAGCATACAAATCCAAACTAAAATGAAATAACACCTTCTATCAACTGGAATGGTTGAAATTTAGAATTCTGATGATACCAAGTGATTAGAATCTCTGCCAGATCCTGTTTTAAGGAATATATATATATATATATATATATATATATATATATATATATGTATTCATTAACTTGATCCTGTTAATCTTAGGAAGAAAGGGCTATTTTATTGCTACTTTCTTGTTCAAAGAGATTGGTTGCTTGTTCACTACCGCACAGTTAGTAAGAAGAACCAGAATTCCAACCAAGGTATTCTAACTACTGCTGTTTCTGTGTGAAGAGGTATGAAGAAGGAATCAGGTACAAGCCTGTGTCTAGTGGTAACATTGAGAATGTCATATAGATGGAGTTGAGTCTAGTTGTACATGTATCCTACTGGATATCAATATGTGTATTAGGGATTTTTTTTTACTGTAGCCTAGAAAGCTGGAGGCAACGTCTTCAAAGTAACAAACAATGAATGTGGGAGGATAAAACTGGAGAAAAGAAAAATAAAAATGAAAGGATAAAACTGGAGAAAAAAAGCTATTCCAAGTGAGTCCAATACTCTAGAGATATCTTCACAACTACTGATATACTTAGGTTATGGTAAACAGTTGTATTACCTAGAATACAGAATTAAGGGAATATATTAGTCAGATTTTTGTCATTTTAAAGAAATACTTAAGCCAACTTTATAAAGAAAAGAGGCTTCTAGGCTGTGACTGGATAAAGTATACAATATCATATGCAACTGCTAAAACTTTAAAACTGTAAAGTTGATATAATTTTTATTATTGAAACCACTGTTAAAATGAGTAAATATTCAAACAAAATATTAAAAAAGCATGTGCTTTACACATGATGACATTTAATGTGAGTACTAAAACTTTAAACTCCATTTCAAGTGCCACATGAAATTCAAAGATCTGGATATTTAAGGGCATAACACCAGTGTCAGCTTAGCTCTAAGGGGGACCTAATTAAAGACTAAGTTCCCATGTGGGAAGCTGAACCACGTCCAAACCATAACAGAGATGAAGAAGCAAAGTACCATGACGTGAGCTACATAGCTTTTAGTTGCACTTATACTTCGGACCATGAGACTTTAACCAAGATCCCTCCTACTGATCTAATGGAAAATGAAATATGTTGGATGAAATAATCAGCAGCCCAGTGCTGAATTTGCAGACCTAAGTATAAAGCCACAATGGATATGTCAGAAGGCTACTAGGGTGTTATTTATTTAAATTTATTTCTTGGAATTGAGCACCACCTTAATGGCCTGAAAGTGTTAATGTATGTCCCAAAGTACCTAAATTACTCCCTAAATGTAATTTATGCTGGAGAATAATCAGACTAACTTGATTTAGAACAGCAGGATATAAGTTATGCTGAACATAAATGAAACAGCAGTGTAATTTTAAATACAGCTTGCATAGTGAATGAGAATTTTAATATTTGCAAAATTTTAAAAATCACTTGATTTATTATCCATATGTTTACACTGACATTTTTTGTCCTTTAGTTTGCTCTACATTTCCTCTTATTGCTAAGGGAAAATGCAACATTTTCCCTGAAAATAATAGAGAAGATAAAATATATTTATTCCCATGAGTGCTATTTTTAATATCTCTTTATGTTTCTAATTGTCTCTGCTGTTCTCTTTGCTCATAGACAGTTTGATTAATGGAGTAAGAGGAATTTAAAAGCACAGTGGCAGATTAATGATTAAATTTATAAATGTAACATTGTAAAACAGTAAAACTATCTATACACACACATATATATACATATATGTATATATACATATTTATGTAGGATGTTCCTTGGGAGGAAAGAATTTAAGTTTATAAGTAGTCATGATAACAAATGTAATTTTACATAGTAAATTCAAGAATATGTTTATACTCTGCTATTAACAACACATATTAAATGCAAAAGTATATTTAAATTTTTATTTGACACTTGAAATGGAGTTTAAAGTATTATTACTCACATTAAGTGTCATCATGTGTAAAGCACATGCTTTCATTTTTTAATATTTTGTTTGAATAGTTACTCATTTTAACAGTAGTTTTAATAATAAAAACTATATCAATTTTACAGTTTTTGAAGTTTTAGTAGTTGCATATTATATTGAATCCCTATCTATTTATCCAGTCACAGCATAGAAGCAGTCTCTAAGGGTGTAAAATTTTGTGAGGTTGCAATTAGTAGAAAAAGATCCAAAAGAAAAAAACTTTGGTACCCAATATAAAATTTCCAAGTCCTAATGCACTAGCAGGAATTAAGAAGAGCTATCACCAGTCCTGTTTTTGTGTGGAGAGATCATTTTCTGTCACCTTTTTGAGTCTGGAAAAAAGGTTGTAAGTGGAGAACTCAGGCTTTCAATCTGCTTCCTCATTAGTTCCATTTCTTTATTCCAGAACTAGGAGGGCAATAATCAACTCTAAACATTCTAAAAGTTATCTTCCCTTCGATAAATACAGAATAAAGACAACCTGCAAAAGAGGCTTAGGGGTCAGAGTTGAAGGACTCTTGATGGGATCTAGTGGCTAATAGTACTATAATTGCCAGGATGGTGAGGGGCAGCAAACTAAGTGCATGATTGGAAATGTTTAGATTATATAGCACCCTGGGTATCCATAGAACATATGTTGGAGGAATTTTCTTCTCCTAGTAGCTGCACGTGTTGATGGAAAGATAATTCAGCTAACCGGGTAGGAATAAAAGCAAACCAAGAAAGTTTACTTACACATTCTACAAAGGTGGATTGGTAAATTGTGCAAAATTATGCTCCAGACATATTAAGAATTAGAATATGACAATGGCAGTAAAAATTATTTTAAAATTATTTTAACTCATGTGACATAAAAAGTACAAAACTAGCAAAACAGAAAAAATATAATGAAAATCAAAATTGACTCTGTAATGTCACCAAGAAGGAACAATGTTAATTTTCCTCATAGCTTTTGTGATTCTCTTGACTCCAATCACATAGTTTGACTGTGAAACCTACAATGAGAAATTCTCTTTTAAAGGAAATAAACTACTAAAGTGTATTCTTGGGTCATTTATTGTCTATAATATGCCACTGAAATATATGCCTACTAAATTATTTGTGAACATGCAAAAATATTCTCAAGATCATTGTGTCACTGAAGGATAGTCCTTACTGATTGTGTATAAAATATTATTAATTCTCAAAGGAAGATTTTTAAACCAGCTATAGTTAGTGACTATGCTTCCATGTACTGCCCTTTATATGAGGCAAATACCGTCTTGTATATACTTTAAAGTTAAACATAAAATGATTTATTAATTACAATGTCTGTCAGAATGTAATAGATATAAGACATATGATTAAATCTTAGGTATTTAATAAAGATGGAAAAAATGGGAAAACTGAAAGCATAGTATTCTTTTGTAGAATGGTGATAAATCCTGGAAAATATCATTCCACTAAAAGAACATGTAAGGTAGTGAAAAGATGTCATTGAGATCAAAGATCTGATTTTGAATCTCCTTGCTTTTTAATCTTTTTGAACTTTTTTCAGATTATTAACTTTTTTGTTTTTTTCCATTAGAATATAAATCATAATGGTTATGCTAGTGACATAGTAGTATAAAATTGAAGAGTCTAATGTCTGGCTCATAGTAACTGTTCAACAAATGTACATTTTGTTCTTCTACTGTGAAAGAAGTGGGTAAATAAATACAGTTGTGTTTTAGCTCTGATATGTGAAATTCCCTAATGAAGGTAAAGGTCTGATAGGATAGTGTAGTTTTCAAATGTATAACCCACTGAATCTTAAAGACTGAAAAAAAACTTTTACTGTGAGGCAACCTCACAGCTAGGAACTTTCAGGATAGCCTATTGCTAGCAGATTCTTTCTAGGGCAAGCCACAGGAGACCAAACAGATTATATATCCCATCTTACTTTATATTCATGATTTTCACTTTGAGTGTCCATTAGAATTACCTGTGTGCTTTTAAAATAACAGATGTCAGAATCTAGCAAAGATACTAATTTTATAGTTCTGTAGTGGAACTCTAGTATTTTGTTGTTGCTATAGCTGTATTGTAATACTCAGGTTATTCTTTATATCCAACCATCTTCAGATGTAGAACCATGGTTGTTTATTAGTCTGTCTCAATTTCTTGTATGACTAGAATATAAGCAAATAAATATCTGCTTCTTCATAATGTATTCATATGTGATATTAAATCAATTGTTTGTACTAAGCTCCTTCAGCATTCTAGTTTGAAAGATTTAATAGATACAATAAAGTAAAAAGAACAAAGGAAGTTTGCACCCATCTTATAGTGTACACTAGTGAAATATCTAGTGGGTTAATTTCTCACATCTGAGTCTAATGACATCTGTCATTTTGTATACTTGATGATCTTAATGAATAAACAGTTTTGATTCATGAGTGATATTGAAACTGATAAACTTAGAGAGATTTAGATTTTTAAGCCAAAACATTTTGAAATTGAATATATAGCTGTCAAATAATGTGTTAACTGTTAACACATTTAAGAATTAAATATAATTACATAAAAATTGCAAACATTCCAAAGTGATTTTATATTTATTTCAATCAAGAAATATAGTCAATTTTAAGGGAAAAATTAGTCTTTAATTTTGTGGCATCTTCTTTCATCTTAATTATTATCTATATTAACTGAAACTGTGATCTACAAATATGAGAACTACCAAAATGATAGCTACGCTGATATATAAAAATGTGCTGTTTCCACAAAATCATTTTTTATAATCAACTTATTTTCCTTGATCTTTATTTTCACCTTCTAGGAGATTTGACAGATCTGTGGAAAAATGGCGGCGTTTTCATTATGATATGAAGACATTTAACCAATGGCTAACAGAAGCTGAACAGTTTTTCAAGAAGACACAACTCTCTGAAAATTGGGAACATGCTAAATACAAATGGTATCTTAAGGTAAGATTTTGATATTTTTTCCCCGAATTGTCTTTATCCTCGCCTTAATATTGCAAATGCTTTACTTATTTACCTTCAGATTGTGAAGGAGGATTGGATTTATGTTACTAATTTTTTGTTGTCATTTTACATATTAGAGAATCACCTTAATGATCATGTTGGGGGACATTACTATGTGCTTTTTATGAAAGGAAGACATTCAGCCTAGATAGGACTTGGCTTATCTGATGAACTATGGAGTATAATTGCATCTGTGATACAGGGAAGCATCTTACCACTGGGTATAATGTGGCTTTATGGTAGTGCATATGTTTTTACCTGGTTTTGGAACCTGTCCAGAAGGAGAATTTGTTCTATACTTGCCAATAATGTGGTTGCCATAAAATTACAGTTCTGTTTCCCTAAAGACAACTTGTGGTGATGTAGCAGTATTTTTATATATTCTATTGACAAAATGCCTTCTGAGATAGTCTCAAGGCCAAAGCAATGCATAGTTAATTGTTGCTACTTATTGACTTTTTATGGTTTATGTTAATGGAAGTGCAATGTATGGATTATAACCAGTGTAGCATTTAATGGTAATTTCTCTTTTAAATATGAAGTGAAATAAATTGCACTGTAGGTGATCATTTTATTTAATAAAATTTGTAGTTTAGGTATGAGAAATACTGTTTCTTGTATTGAGGCTAAAGTAGTTCTGTAGTATTATTAGCTCAAGTTTTTCCTGTTACAATTTTTGATCTAGTGGATTTGAATTAGGTCCAGTTTTTAATGCCAGAAAATACTGATTAAGAAGAGGAAGGCAAAGAAATGATATTAAATAATTTAAGCATTTAAAAATGTTAGGTTCATAATAGCAGTATGAGAATCCAACTTTATAATTGTTCAGTCTCAAAATTTTTGAATAGTCAATGTGCTATTTGATATTAAGTAATGAGCATTTAAACACACATATATGACATAGTATTTAAACATACAATGTGAGCACTTGAAAAATACTGTACAATTATAATCACATCAATCAAACTTTTATATACCCAATATCAGCCTTTGAAGAAAGAAAATTCATGGATTTCCAGTCTGTTATCATAGAGATGATACATTTTTAATAGAGCTAAACTGAATTTTGACCTAATGTAGCATGACAAGTTCTCTTCCTGAAGGGCATAAATACATTAGTGTGATATGGATGTTCCTTTGTAGAAACATAAACCTCTTGAATTTCCAAAGTCATCTGACATAAGATAAATATAGTTCACAGTTTATAAATTTAATATAAACTTATTGTGAAAAATCAAAAAATGTAGGGTAATATATTTACTATCGTTCTGCTTCCCAAAAGGTAGTTCTTTATTTGGGTGAGGGGAATAAGAAGGATAAAACCCACAGCCTTGTACATGCTAGGCTCAGGCTCTATCATTGAGCAACACCATAGTGTGGTTTCTGGTACTTGATACAGATTGAGTTTTTTGAGAAGGTGGTTCTAGGATGGAGATGAGCATATGGAAGTTTTATAATGGAGTGTTTTTGTGACTCAACATTTCGTGTGTGTGTCAGGATAAAGTTTTCTTTCTGACTTTTGTACTTACATTCTGTTAATTTTATAGTACCTATGAGTATATCATTTCTATGATAATTCTGCAGTGTTTCAGCCACTATCCTAAAAGAGAGCCCAAATATACATATTTAGACTGAACAAAATAACCACACTACTCACTGATATTATGTTTGTTTCCTTGACAGTCTTAGTTTCCTCTACAATTCTTTTTATACATCTATAATCTAACATTTGCTATGCCTACCTGTGATTAATGCCTTCTAGTGTAGACTTTTCACACCATGCTTTTATCTCTTAAAATGTAATTTTATATTTTATATCTTCCATATATTTAGTCAATACTTTCTTTATCTTCTTGGAGATATGGAATACAGATATAATAAATCTTATGTTGTCTTTGTGAATTCTAAGTCATTTTTAGTTGATCAATTTTTCTCCTCACTGGGTACTATTGTGATGTTTCTTTAGATACTAGTAACTTCTTATTGTGTGTCAGACATTGGAACTTTTAACTTCTTGACTAGTTAATATTTTTGTATGCAATACATTTTCTTAACCTTTCTTCTTGGATACAGCTAATCTACTTGGTAGCAGCTTGATATTGTGTAGATCTTTAGCACATACTTTGTTAGTTCTGTCTAGGGTTAATTTTTCCTACTGCTCAGCCAAAGCTCTTCTCATCACCCTGATGCCCAGTGAATGATAACATTTTACACCATGGCTCATGGCTAAAGGCACTACTCACTACCCAAACTGAGCTCTGGTGATGGTTTGCTTTAGTCTTTTTACATGGTTTGTTCCCTAATCTTGGATAGCTTTCTCACTAACATAGCCTCATTTAAAAACCAGCTGTAGACTGGATATCTGTAGATATCCAAAATTATCTCTCTGTGTTCTTTCTTTCTGTCTAGTATTCTAGTATTCTACTAGACAGAACAATTTTGATGGCATTTTATTTGGTAATATATTTTAAAGATATAATCATGTAATTTTATAATAATTTTGTATGTCTGAGGAATATTGAAAAGTTCTCATTTCTTCACAGGGAAGTTTAGTTGAAACTTATAAACATTTGCCAAAAATTTCTCCTTTAGAAAAGTTTTAAAAATCTATTTTTAGTCAATTGCATTCTTTTTAAAATTTTATTTATTACTATTGTGAAGGTAATGTACAGAGGGGTTATGGTTACATAAGTCAGATAAAGAGAACATTTTTTGAAGTTTTCCCATCCAGTTCCTACCCACAATTTTTGTATTTCATTTTCAACACAGTATGTGGTAAGTATCACTGCTGCATTTGTTAACCCTTTGTCCCATCCTTTCGGTGCCCCCCTTACCCTCTCAAAGACAGATAAACAAACAAGACAAAAGGAAATGAAAACAAAAATGACAATAAAGAAAAAATATCCCTTGTTTCCACCTTCTATAGAGAGTTTATACTGTCAGATGCATATAGCTGTTGCACCTATGTGATCCTCTATAGAGAATATCCTCCTTTGGTCTCACTCTATGAGAATGCCTAGGGACCTGTATAACTTCTCATGCCCCAGTGTACTTTTTTCTTGTACAATCCAGTTTGCTTGTAGATTTATAGGCACATTCTAGCTACCACAAATTAGCAAAACCATGCAACCTATGTTTCTCCAGGTCTGGCTTACTTCATTTAATATATTTTTTTCCAAGTCTTTTTGATGGATGAGTAGTATACCACATTTCCTGATCCATTTGTCCACTGAGGGACATTTGGGTTGACACCATATCTTGGCTATGGTAAACAATGCTGCGATGAAAATAGTTGTGCTGGTCACTTTAATGTGGCTTTATTTAATCTAATGCTTTCTTAATTTGCATATCAAAGAAAAATTCTAAACTTGAAGAGAAAACTTTTGTAGCTGTCAGAGGTCATAAATCCTGTAAACATTGATACATTTGTTTCTTCTTTAGTGATTGTAAGCCAAAAGTAATGTACATGTACACACATCTATACATCCACATGTACATTAATAAGCACAAATGTAAAATACTCAAGGCTATGTTAAATTTCAAAATAAGAATTTGAAAAAAGATCCAGTAAGATATTATAGGAAACCTCTACTTATGGGATGTCTAGAAATCTCATCTGTCTTAGTAATCATTTTTAAATTTGATTTTATAATCAATGTAATGTACAGAGGGGTTACAGTTACATATGTAAGGTAATGAGTACATTTCTTATCAAACATTGTTACCCCTCCCTCATTTTTCTCCCACTTCCCCTCTCCTAACCACTTCCCAAGTTGTAAAGTTCATTTCCCACATATTTTCTCGTGTGTATCCTTGTTGCATTGGCTTGCTCTTTGTCCATTGTGTCACCATTTTGTTTCTCCCTTTCTCTTCCCCAATTCAGATAAATATATACACATAAAAGACACAGGATACCAAAATTAAATACAGTGACAACAGGGGATAAACTAAAGGAAAAAGAAATGAAAGAAAAAGTACATTACAAACAATTACAACAAAGAAAAACCTCTTGTTTCCATATCTTGGAGTTCATTTGGCCTAGCCTTATCTTATGTATTCATATGTACATAGCTATTGAGCTATTGTGGTCTATTCTAGACATGTACTATTTATTACAAATGAGGGAGAATATAGAGCCAATGTTTCTTTGGGTCTGGCTTACTTCACTTAGTATGAGTAATCATCATTACTGATTAATAATGAATAGGAGAGTTTAAATATTTGCTGTGAAATTCTCTTAGGAAACAGGAGGTAGGTGGTTGCTGCCAGCAGCAGATTTGATGACATGAACAATTAATGTTTACTTTGAGGGAATTCAACCAAGTAGCCAATGTACTGCAAAAATACATACAGACCTAAGTTTGAGCTTAGAGACACACACATAAATTCTAGATAATAAACAGAAAAAATATTCTTTATATATTGTAAACTTGTCCATATTTATTGCAATGAACTGCATTGTATATATTATTTTTACTTCTAAGAAGAGAGATTAGTGCCTAACTGAGGCTCTGTATTGTCATTTAGAATAAAATAACTTCCAATACCAGAAAGGTGGTTTGGCTCCATGTAACTCAATTATTTTTCTCTGTCACAAAAGAGTGATAAAATTAATTGTATTCATTTATAATATTGCAGAATATTCCAAAGCAATTGACCATGTTACCATGGAGAACATCTTAAAAATATCGTATTGTTTGACCGGAGAAAATATCAACTATATAATATGCCATTAAAATTAGTTTGTCAGTAAATCTACTCAGTTATCTTTGTATATATTTATGTGTTTGTTCAAGAAGTAGAATTCAAGTAAATGGAGAAATGTGATCACCTACTAAAATATTGATATGTCACATTGGACTCTATTAGAGATTTGGAACAGTGGGTTTATATTCCAGTTTATTTAGCTTAAAAAATCTTTAGCTTGAAGAATCTTGTGA